AGAAAATCACGAGAACCCATGTTCCCGTTTTTATTGGTAATACGCTTATATAAATGAACTAAACGTAGGGTAAAAATTGACTGTTCATTAAAAGTTCCATTTTTTTTTTTCACTATTGAGTAACTGTTTATTTACAGACAAATCCGTGTAAGCGTCCGAGTAGGTAATGGATCTCGATTAACAACTCAATGGTTGTGGGTCCAAACCTTAAATGCGGTGGATGTTACAATAAAGCCGATAGTCTTAGATGTGGTAGTACTTTAAGACTTGAGTGTTACGATTTCTCTCTCTGGGTAAATTGTGTAAAATAATAACATTTATAGGTAAAAGGAGAAAGAATGCTATAGTCGGGCAAGGCCGACTTTTAGATCCCCTATACCACTTTGATTAACCAAGAATTATATATTATTTTTATGGAAATCAATAATTTTCATAGAAGCCTTCAATTGGAGAATACTTAAGTACGTACTCTAGTGGCCTACGTCTAGAAACCTTAATTTACTTGTGAACGCTCTTATTATTTTCCAATTGCTACCGTCATAGCAGGCGACAAATTAGCTTTTGTCGCCATAGAAAGGCTTGTTTCATGAGACCATTCATATATGGTGCGGTCCAAAAACTAGACCTATGTGATCCAAATTCACCATGGTTGATTTGCCAAGTACAAATTTTCATCAACTTAAGTTATTAGAGTTAGACTTTCTTCGTTTAGGCTTCTTTTTCATTGGAATCCTTATAAAGGCTGAGATCTAGATATTAGACCTACGTGATCCAAGTTCGGTAAGGTTCATTTTTATATGAAATTATTATTACGAAATTATGCAATTTACTGTCCTCTCGATTCAAAGTTTGTTCATCAATTTAGAGGGCGGAAATACAATTACTAAGCGATATTTGTCGTGAAATTCTAAAAGTTACAATATGTGAAGAGTGTTCGAAGAAGTGACCTAATTTGAACCATTTCCGCTCGTTTGTGCGTTCGTCCTTGGCCAAGACACGCCAATGTATCAAATTTCATCAAAATATCTCGAAAATTGCGGCCTATTGGTTGAACACGAGTCTCAAGCCCAAGTTGAAAGCTTTAAATGCACTTTATTCATTACACTTTCTCAGCTGATGAAGGATGTGGAGAGTACTCAGACTCCGTATGGCATTTTTATCTTAATTCTAGAAAGAAAGTTACCTGCACACCGACCTATTACTCGAGTATGCTTAAATGCCGAGTTCAGTCAGTATATACTTGAGGATACATCTATAAACTATTCAACTCAAAGCGAACGCAATTTTATTAACTGTTTTAGATACCAGTTGCAGTGGAAAAGCTTACCGTTTATTTCATCATTCAGAAGAAAACATGCTCACTGTTCGAGTCTTTTCAAGGTCTTTTCTTCTTCACCAGCCATTTTTCACTTTCTACTAATTATTTGTGTGCACTTGATAAATGGTAATAATATTTATTTTTGCTTACCGTGTGGTAACTTTCCCATCTCTATAGCTACCCCTCAGTACTAGGACATAAATTTGATTTACTGAAAGTAGAGCAAATTTAAATATTACCGTATATTACGGAAGAAAGCGAAAGTTGACTATCGATAATCTTTTTTCAATTTGTGTCAATATTATTTTTACTGTTTTCATTGTTTCAATAATGTTGGTTACGCTCCTTTAGCTTTCGTTTATTCAAACACTTGCAAAGTGAAGCGTATCCTCTTCTCTAGATGATTACTTTGTTAAATATTTAAATTCATTATCAACGATTTTCTTTTTTTTGTTATTTTTTTTTTTTATTATTGAGCTGTTAGCGAAGATAAATATTAAGCAAACACTCAATTACAGTGTATAACTATAGAATTCCACTTTGGTTCATTTAGACGACGTGCAGTCGAATGTGTGGTTATGATATAAACACATAATCTCCTCTTTGAATGCATACATACATACACATATATACATATATATATATATGTACTTATATATAGATATTTTTTTCATTCTGTCTGTGTTGCATTTCCTCAGACTATGTGAATGTATGAGAATATCTGTTGACTTTTCGTAGGGTTTGTTAGCTTGTGCTTAGAAAATTAAAATGTTTGTCTTGTCTCTAGTGTTAGAAACATTAAAATCTAGATTTTATTGCTTCATTTTTCTTTTTTCACATGATTCTATGAACCCCTGCCCTGCCCTGCTGTGCTCAGCCCCAGCAAAACGAATCTCTTGACAATCGTAACGTTGCTAATGAGGCAGATTTTCATAAGCTGCTCTATTTAACGGAGGATATCGTGTTATTGTGCATGAAGATTTTCACAGATTTGCCGTTCAATGTGGAACGCAAATGAAAAACTTTTAATATACACACATATGTGAAATGAAAAGATATGCGACAAAAAGTGGAAATGAAAGGAAATAAAATGAAAGAAAATATGAGAAAAAGTTTTAAAGGAAAATACTTTTTCAAACATATTTATGTATTATAATAAAGGTTCCAAAAATAATCTCTGCTAGGATTTTGTATGCCCAGTAAAGATTTTTATTATTGATCTCGATTAATTATTCAGTTCACTTACGCAGCGTTTGCTTGAAGGAAAGCAGCGACGTTTGCCGTTGCGTGTATGTGAACACCTCGTTTGAGTAACTTTTTCTTTCACAAACTTACAAACATTTCAGAGCTTAAGCTTAGAATCGCAAATTCTACTTGCTTTTGCTGCTGATATCTGAGTGAAGATTAAGAATTTCGCCTATGTTCTTTACAAAAGTCGAAAGCATATAGCATGCCTACGATAATAAAGAGGTGGAGTAAGCAGTGTATTGCAAAACACTCGCAACTCATAATAAATAACATTCCCTTAAAACGACATAAACAGCCTTAACATTTTCGTAATTAATTTTCGTGCATGTCGTTGACGCATGCTTACGATACTTTGATATACACAATGCATGTAGGTACGTGGACACTGTTCAGGAAATTAGATTCGCACTAAAATTATATATCTACTCCTTAGATAATGTTAGGCGAAGAACACGCGAATTGAGGTCATATCAAAAGAACTCGGAGATTGGTTAGTATAACTAAGATCTTTTATTGAACGATGAAGAAATAGAAAATAGATTAGTTTGAAAAAATCCCGCAGAATTTGTACAGAATAGATAGAAATTTTAAGGGAATTCTGAAGAAATAAGTTAAACAGTCAATCGCTCAGAGTAAGCGGAAATACTGCTGAGGTGAATGTTAAGCGAAACTTATTCTTCATATTCGTGGCCATCGTAAAAGTTTAATCCAAAAGCTAATAGTACAGGATTTGTCTCTCATTCGTTTAACGCACTTCGCGTTGTGTTATCCTTTAGTGTTTAATGAAGTTTCAGTGACGCTTTTTAAGCCGAATTTCTGAAAGTTTTCATTGGTTACAGACAGATGACGAAAAAACCCTGCAGACTAATTTATGGATTCATACGATCTGTTTCTATCTCTTTCTTTCTCTACCTCGGTCTCTACCTCTCCCTTTGAAGCTTTCAAGCCTTACAGCGACGATAACGCTGCTCTTGTTGTAGTTTTTTTGGTATCCTAATAGAGAATCTATATGTTTTGAAAAAAGTTCTTAGAACCCGTCCATAGAGACCGTCTCGGCATAAGCACATTAACTGTTCATCTGTGATTTTAATGAAGACTTCAACGTTATAAATGCCTTAGTCAATATTATCCATTCCGTAACTTACTGTGAATTTTTTCCCACCACCTTTAATGTTTTCGACTGGTATTTCCTATAATGCGTTCTGCTCTTTGCTTTCCAACTGAGAAGTTCGTAACTGCTGTGTGATTTTAACCATCGATTTTATTTCCATTGTTTGCAAATTATGAACTCTAAAAACTCGGATAAGATTAATGTGCTCGTTATTTATTTACCGAAGTGAAGATGGTCCAATAAAAATGTTCTAAGGTACGCAAAGTAAAAAAAAATTAACGAAAACAACAAGTATTAAAACTAAAAAATATTAGGAAGCAAGCAAACAAACTAAGCCTTTCATTACGATCAGAATAACACCAAAAAAACTAAGTTATCATTACTAACTCTTAATCACAATTACAGTACAAACACTGACAACAAACAAAATTCGGAGCCGATGTAGACTCTATATTCTTTTTTTAATATGTCTTCTCTAACATAAGTTTTCTTTATACTCTATTAGCTAACGTAAATACCAAAAACATAGCATACAACTAAGCGCAAGATATTAAAAATTCTTTGCAATTGTATAAATTTTTCTTTGTCCTATAACTATAGAAATTAGCGAAAAAAAAGTTTTTATCACTTGCTATCGAAAAAAATTTAGACATTTGTGAAACGTTTTTTAGCGATTTTCTTTTTAAATTGTTACCATCGCTTTTAGGCTTTTGGTTTTTACATTTAAATAAACCAGTTAAAGACTAGTTCAAGATTTCATTTTCCAATTTTGGGAGCTTTGTAATTTCAGCATGTTAGAGTAATTTTGCTTTTATTGCATACCGTTAGTTGTTGTACATATGGGACGGTGTATATGAAAAAAATTAATCTACATTTGTGAGTACAATAAAAAGAAATTCAGTGCAATTTGTTATCTACTTTTAGGGTTAATTACATCTTTCTAGAGCTGGTAGTTTCTCAGGTCGGATCTATCATTAAACCAAGTGACTTAGCAGATCAAATAAAAAAAAAAAGAAGCTTTTTAAACTTTCAAAAGTAAATTGAACCATTGAATTAATTAAACACTGAAAAGGATAGGCAACACGTGTGTAATTAAACCGCCAATTACATTTATTGCAATATCATGGCGTAATTACGTTTTCCCGGAAATGATTGGTTTATTGATAATTAGTACGCACTAAAATGTAGATGAACGTGTGGCACACGCACAGCACTTCGTCCTTGTATAAAAACGCGAATTCCTCAAGGTGGTTACTTAGAATATAAAGTAAATTTTAGAGCGACAAGTAGAAAGATTTTAATAGGATCATAAAAGCGTTCAATATGTTTTTAAATACTTTGAAATTTTTTCGAAATAATTGGTTAAGCTGGCGATTGTTGGGCATCGTATCTCCCAAAGACAAACAAAATCATAAGTTGATTAAATATCTGTTATGGTCAATGATTGTTAATGCTGTTGCTACATTTTTAATCCCTTTACATCTACTGCTTGGTATATTTCAAGAGCAACCCCAATCGACTCGTTTTGAAAGTATAGCAATATGCGTGACTAGCATAGCGACCAGTTTAAAGTTTATTATATACGCCAGCAAATTACAACATGTCAAACGAATGGGCGAACTTTTCCAACGTTTAGATGCAAGGATATCTAATGATAACGAAAGACAATTTTATCAAAAGCATATATATCGTAATGTTATACGTATACAAGCGATGTTCATAGTGATTTATATTTTAGTGGGCATTACGGTCACAGTTGCTTTTATATTTAGCGGAGAACGGCGGTTATTTTATCCGGGTTGGTTACCATTTGACTGGCGTCGTTCAATAAAGTATTATGTGGCTGCCATCGGCTTTCAATTGATTGGTATTTTCTTTCAAATCTTGCAAAATTTCGCAAATGGTAGTTTTACGCCGAAAGCCTTATGTGTTTTGTCCGGCCATATACAATTGCTTTATATGCGCGTTGCTAACATCGGTTACGTAAATCGTGTCGCGTACCAGCAAAATCGCAATCTACGAGAACTAAATGAATGCGTCCTTGATCAAGAGCATTTGTATCAGTAAGTTTTCGACGACAAAGCTTTCTAAATGGCATGTTTTTGATGATAAATTGAGTTGTGTTAATTTAATCCGACTTATGTTTTCTTTTTTACAGATTGTTTGACGTTCTACAAAGCATTATATCGTGGCCGATGTTTTTGCAATTTCTTGCTTCGACCGTTAACATGTGCATGGCGATGGTCGCTCTACTGTTCTTTGTCACAGACATTCTGGAACGTATTTACTATGTTATGTATTTTGCCGCTATGTGCATGCAGATATTTCCCACTTGCTATTACGGTAGCGATTTCGAAATAAAATTCGAGCGATTACATTATGCAGTCTTCTCTAGCAATTGGACTGAGGGCACTCAATGTTTTAAGTGACACATGATGATATTCACTGAACGAGCATTGCGAGAAACTAGAGCAATGGCTGGCGGCGTATTTCGTATACATTTGGATACATTTTTTGCTACCATCCAAGGTGCCTACTCCTTATTCGCTGTTGTTCTAACAATGAAAAATTAATAATTTATTCAATCCAAAAAACAAAAAAAAAAAAAAAAACATATGAATGAAGATTGTATGACATGCATCAAAACAAATTATTTCGCAATCATATGGACGAAGGTATGTGCGAAGTGCAGATCAATGTTTTGCATTAAAATTAATTACAGAAAAATTTGATTTTGCACGAAAGAGATCTACTAAAGCAATGTGTAGCGGACGGTTTGAATCCGACATCACATACAATGGCTTGCGAGGGATGCGTCAATTTAAACAAATCCGTTTAAAAGTTCACAGCTCATGCATATTGAAAGACACAACACACACACACGCACGTATCTCTCTACTGGATTGTAATTAAAACACACTGATAGTGAAATTAACTTTTCTATAGGTTCACATAGTAAATAAGTTTCACGTTTTAATTCGTTTTAACGCGTCAGAAAAAAAGGGGCGATATATTTGAAAAAAAAAAGAAGAAAAACGTTGATTGCTTTTCGGTGCAACTTGGCGTGTGAAAATATATGTAAATTTGATTGCATATGTTTACACATGCAAACGAACACATAAAGTACTTTAGGGGTGCAGTGTGCGAAAATGCGCACTTTATATTATATATGGCAGTCGTACTTATCGCCCTTAAAAAAATTAAGAAATTACGTAAAAATATATGAAAAAAAAACTCTCGCTTTATTTATTTGCACAAATTTTGCTTAAATCTTATTACCAAGCAAGGGTCAATTTAGTAAGTCATTTAAAGAAATTCGGCATAACATCATGTCATTTACATTAATATAGCAACAACAGCAAAAACAAGCAAGGAAATCATATATGGTCGTGGCGGAATCTCTTGTGCCCACTACCTGTGATCCTAAGAAAATACAACTACGTTTTCGTACTCTGTACTACTGTATGTGTGAGTAACAAACAAAAACTAAGAAAAGGGCAGATGTTCACAATTTTCGTTACTTCCTTTGACAGGTTCATCCTTTAGTTAGGTACTATATTCATTTTTGCGAACAGATGGATCGATGGACAAACGAACGGACAGACAAGCTTAGGTGCATTCGAAATTTGAAACTGGCCAAGAATTTATTTTTTTATGGAGTTTTTAAAGTTTTCTTCTTTGCGTTTTGAACAAAAAAATTAAATTTTGACACATTATAGAGGTTGCAGAGGTGCCGTAAATGTTTACCCTTTTTCCACAGATACTACAGCATCGTCTATAGCATATGCATTCAAACCTTTGTAGATTTATCTGATGTAGTTTAAATGAGTAATGAGCAAAAAACCAATTGTTTTATTCTTTTTGAAAAACCGAAATTTACTCAGTTTACATGATACTGCCGACGTGTCGTTCGGCTGATTTGTCTTCTTTTCAATAATAGCATGCGCGCAGGAACTTGCCATATTCCTGCCAAATTTGAGCTGGATAGCTCTATTTTTGTGGTGAGGAGGATGATTACAATACACATTACGTAAAGGGATGGACGGACGGATGCACAGACGGACATGCTTAAATCGATTCAGGATTTTTTAATGCTGATCGAGAATATATATACTTTTTGGGTCTCCAAAATTTTGACAAATGAGCATATCCCTCATCCTTTGCTGATTGGCATGAGAGAAACATTAAAACTTATTCACCCAAATTTAGGTTACACCTTCAACGTTTCATATACGCAATGCTAACGTTTCACATATTTTTTTTTTTTTGCTTTGTAAGCTCATTAAGTGAATTTTCTTTGGTGCCTCTTTCAAAGAATTTTTTTTTCCTACTTTCGTTGCCTCCAAAGCAAACGTTGAGGGTATTAAATAATATTGACTTTGGAAAAGACAAGTTGCGGATGGATTAAGGTGAGTGTGTTGTTTGTTTGCATAACAATAGAGAAAAATTAAATATTTACGAATCAGTATTATTAGGGTTCACGTTTTGAAACAACTTGAAGGCTTATCCGACCGTGTTTAAATAGCAATTTCTTCATTGCGTTGTTCATCTTACAGCAAGCATTACATGTTACTGTTACTATCAACCTATCGTCATTTAATATCTTATTTTGTTTACTTTAGAAGCAATCAAATTAACATAAGCGAAACGAGAAGTAAAACATATTTCGCTGATTTTTACTTTTCCCATAGTTACTAAGTTAACTGTTAATATCTATACATTTTGTAATAAACAACACACAATTACTCAAAAAATCAATAAATTGTCAAGCGATTTAAGTATGTCTGCCCGCCCATTCGCCTACGTATCTATCCGTATCTCTATGTAATATCTGTAATAAACATTCTCCTGGTCGGGAAAATCCAATCCCCTACCAATCGGCTTCGAGTTTTGCTTTAAAAATGGGCAGTTGTTGCTTGCAGATCTGTATTGAAATTTAGCCAAATCGGTTAAACAACGCCATCATAGTACAACATAACCTGAGGCTGTCTCTGATTTCAAAAATAAGAAAGAAACGATTTTTGTACTTGTAGACCACAACAGTTGCAATGACAATTGCATGTATGTTGTATGTGTGGCACCTGTATAAGAATGGGAAAAATCAGTCACGCCCATGCTGTGTTGTAGAATGTAGAAGTTTGGAGGCAGGGGAGAAAGACGTTCCGTATACCAGTTTACGTTCGGCACTAGGGAACGAATTATTCTCGTGGCGTTGACTGTGCTTTTTCCTAAGTATATCATCGGGCATCGGTCGTGTATCAAAGCATCAAGAAACACCTGTAAGCAATGAGCAGCACTAATGAGTGTCTAAGTCGTAGTATAAGCCACGAATGCTGGGCGTTATGAATTTTTGGTGGTGTCACAGGGATGCACTATTTCAGAAAAGTCTTGTTTACTTCACAATGCACCTCAGTAAAGTGCTACCGATTAAATCAAAAACCACTCAGGATTGTGTAAATATTTTACTTGATTAGATTGGATATTTTGCAATCAATTAAAATAGCGAAGCTGAAGAATTTCGTGTCGTATTTAAAAAGACGCTAGGCAAGCTTTTATTTAATGGAATCCTTTAGTTCATTCATTACCTGTAAAAGTTTTGTTACTTACCTCATTGATTTCCTTCTCAGTTGCAATTCAGCAACTAATTCGCTCTACGTTTGAAGAGAAATAAATATATAATTGTGTATGAGTTATGCTGTTAGTTAGGATAGTTTTGCGCACATGCTATTAAAAATTACGCAGAGTACGGTGAAATCTGAAGGTTTTGCCCAATGCAAAATGAAAAAAAATTCCAGGAATTGTAGAACAACCAGTCATGAATATTGCATTAAGATAAAGCATTAAGTCACCTGTCATTGTTTTTCCGCAATTTTTTGGCCAAAAACAATGACGTAATCATGCCTCAGCCTCACGTATTTATGACGTTTTACGAAAACTCAAAACTCCATTTTGAACTATATATGAAGGACTGCCAAACTGCAGAGACTCAGCAGTTTGGCGAGGCCTTGAGGAGAAAAAGATGAGTTGCATTTGGAGAGATTAGGAGGTTTACTGTAATCTGTCCTCTGCAGTTTAATACTGAATATGAGACTAACGATTTAAGCAAAGCTTAACAAATTTATTCCTTTTATTTGATAGCATGTAAAAACTCCCCACAGGGCTTTTGCTTTTGAACTACTTTATTCATCTATAATGTACGTCAACGTAGGCCGATTGAGAATGTTATTCGTTCGAAATATTTTTTTTTGGAATGAAATAAAAACAAATGGGAGGCAACGAAAGTGCACCTCTCCTAATTGATTTTTTCGAAACAAAAGAAAAAAAGTTAAACCTAATTGTTCACACTAACACTGAAACTTACCTGAACGTTTTCTTTGTTTACTTTATACGCGCTACTGACAAATGGCGTATATTCGTTTTGTCAAAACATTTGCAACACTCAGGAGGAAGGTTTCGAGAGCCTGCAAGGTATATACTTTCCTAATTAAAATCAAATTTTGAATCGATTTAAGCATATTTGTCAGACCGTCTACCTGCCTATGAAGTGCTTGTAGTAAGCATTCTACTGGTCGTGAAAATGAAGCTATGGAGTACAAATTTGACAGCAATAGATAGTTGGCTGTACAAGCGGAACAAATCGGTCGAAGGATTTGCTCAGGTTACGACCCATAGCGCCAACACCTCGGTTTTCAAAAACAAAAAATGGGGTTTCTAGTCGCTATTTATATATAAAGTGTAACAAATGCAATGATGATGATGATCCTCCATGCATCCCCACAAAGATTGCACATTGATATCCATTATCGAAGGGAACACAAAGTGTATGTATTATTGAGCAGTTTGCACTTAAGCGTGTTTGTCGTTCCATCTGTCTGTCTGTCCGTTCGTCCTTCTATCCATCTTTTTGCTTTGCTGTATTGACAAAAATTGCGACATTCGGCAAAAACTTTGGAGGTCGGTACTGTAAATGGAACAAATTAATCAAAAGATTCGTCTCTTCATCCTTGCTCGCTACTCATAGTTTTCAATAATAAATACTTTTATACTCTATATTAATATATACATGGTTGATATGGAAGATTCGGCAATTGCCGAATATAGTTTTTTTGCTTGTTTTCCATTGCAACGTTCCTATCATTAAACAACACATCTGTGAATTAATTTTCCCTCCATGCAAAGAGAAGTTAATATAAGTCTGTGGCAGGAATCCTCACCAAAACCATTCATTTTCATTTTGAAAAGGTTTTTATTGGAACAAAGCACATACACGTGTTTTTTTCCAACACATGAATTTATCAAGCACATATACATTGAACTCTATTTACGCGAAGCGATATAAACATATAAACCTGATTACTATGACTATAAGAAAAAAAAAGAGGAGGAGACATTTTATCAGAACGATTTGTTTTGTAAGCTTTACTGAACAAATATGCTTTGAAATACTGCTTCACTGCTATACATAGTAATCAACATCTTTGTTGACATAAAAGCAATAATTTTTGTTTTGCTTGAATATATGCGATTGCATAAACGTTGGCATACGTAAGCATATAGATGCTTGTCTATATTT